ATAAAAATTCTTTGATCCATTTCTTTTAACGAACGAAAATCGCCGAGCTCATAAAACACGTCTAACCTTAGCGGCTGCCAAAGACAAAGTAAATAATGAAAACAGCTAAAGTTTTTATCTTACTTCGGGGGCATGTATACCAACATAATAAAGAAAATTTTATGACGACCGGACCCTCCGAACCCGCGAAATTTAACAATTCCCGTTATTTTCTGAACACACCTCGTATATATATATATTAATGGTTTTTCGGGATCTGCTCCGTGTTGTTCTTTTTTTGGTTCTTAAAATAACCGTATGTCTGACGACGTTTCAGTACAATCTCGTGTACCATCTTCAGGTCTTACCTGCTGGGCTGCTGTTGCTGCTCTGCTGCGAGTTAAAATGTGCTCGATTTGATTTTGGGTTAAAATTAATGGCAGTCTATTTGTCCATTGTAATAGTGTTAAATAAAACACGACTTGCGTTTGAAGTAGATAACAAAAAAAAAAGTTTCTTTTATGAAGTTAACAAAAGCTTTGTTGCGTTTTCTATGCTGTAGTTAATTTCGTCAGTCATAAAATAAAAGGTTTGCTTTTGAAAGCAAGTTTATTGAAACGGGTAAACGCAACTTTTATTTGAATTATAACGAAATGGGGAAAATGATAAATCCGAAGTTCAAAGTTCGACAGAAGCTAAAAATATTTGACGAAGGTATTCGGGTCATTTAAAACTTCGCTTTTATTTTTATTTAACTGGACTTTTATTTTTTTTATCCTTCTACAAATAAGACCTTCAAGGAACGGCTTTCAAAAGTTTTCAACATAAATATAAGAAACGAAAATATGTACTTTGCTAGATTCCCAGAATAATAATCTCTGTTTAACCTATTAATGACACAAATTGACATACCTCACCTTTACTTTGCAAAAATTGATTTTAATATTAGCAAAAGGCCGCATCCTTGATGTGTTTACAATAGCCCTCCATATCACTAACGACTTTTTAACATCAATAAATAATATTGCCATCAACCCAACCATGAGTTCAGTTTGATTTAATCAATGTATTTTATATTATAATAATAATGATAATAATAATCTTTATTCAGAAAAGCCAACGAACAGGTCAATACAAAAAATAGCAGTATACGAGGTGTGTTCAGAAAATATCGGGAATTTTCGTTTTTTGAAACAAATATTTATTTATTCGTCTACATTAATGTTGTCGCCTTCAAAATAGTCCCCATTGGATATTATGCACATGTGCCAGCTCTTCTTCTAATACTCGAAACACTTCTAAAACTCGATCTTTGGGATAGCCTTTAGTTCTTTCAGCGATGTGCTTTTAATGTCATCTATGCTTGCAAAACGACGGCCCTTTAAGGTTCTCTTTATTTTTGGGAATAGGAAAAAGCCAGACAGAGGCATGTCTGGCGAATATGGAGGCTGGGGCATCATTACAGTATTGTTTTTGGCCAAAAATGTTGTTCAAAATTTAACAATTTTAGAACAAATTTTGCTGCCACGCGTTTCATACCCAAAACATTCGAAAAAGTTTCATGGGATAAGCCAATCGATATACCAACATCATCAGCGACTTCTCTGATGGTTTATAACCCTTTCCATGTTTTTATCGGTTGTTAATGTGCTTGTGCGTTCGGGGCGTTCGTCATCTTCAACGTCTTCACGGCCATCTTGGAAACTCTTATACCACTTGTAAACTCTTGTTTTACTTATAGCAGACTCACTATAGGCCTTTGTTAACATTTCACAGAATTTATTTAATTTTTTAAGCCAAATTGGATACAAATTCTTTGATCCATTTCTTTTAACGAACGAAAAATCGCCGAGCTCATAAAACACGTCTAACCTTACCGGCTGCCACAGACAAAGTAAACAATGAAAACAGCTAAAGTTTTTATCATACTTCGGGGGCATGTATACCAATAATAATAATAATAATAAAGAAAATTTTATGACAACCGGACCCTCTGAACCCGCGAAATTTAACAATTCCCGTTATTTTCTGAACACACCTCGTACTGATATAATACAAAATCCAATACAAACATAAAATTAAGTTACACTAATTAAAAATACAAAGGAAAGATAAAATGGCAAATTATTAAAAGAGGTTTCGAAATATAACTATAGTAATAAAACAAATCTAAATTTATAATTGTAAAAACACTGACATTGTAAAATTTGTGGTTTAAATTGAACTAAGGATAACTTTGTTTTATCAGGAATTAAAAGGTTTTTATGTCTAGTTTGATAAGTATGTGATAGGAATTGTACATAAAAAAAATTAATATTTTTCTTAAAAACATAATATACTCTAGTATATAAATAGATCTATAGGTCTTTATTCTTATGAATAATACATGTTTAGAGCAGTCTTGGTATTAATGTGATAGTTTAGTGTTTTTAATTGATGCATTTGTGAGCTAGTGTGTTTATGTGTTGTTTCCAGGTAAGTCTTGAATCTACTGTCAACCCTAAGACATTTATTTCATTGCAGCCTTCTAACATTCTTCCATTATCTAGTTCGATGTTATAGACTTGATTTTGTTTACATCCAGAACAAAATTGAATTAGTTATGTTTTTTGTAGTATATTTTCGTCAAACCATTTCTTTAGGATGTCTATTGTTTGTTTTGTTGTTTTTAGAGCGTCTTCATCTGTTTTGTGCTAATTATAATACTTGTATCATCACTAATTTTTCTACATACTGGGGTATGTCATTTACATAGAGAATAAATAACATGGGCTCCAAAACAGAGCCCTGAGGGACTCCTCTAATCATAGATGTCCAATCAGAATACATTCTTTGTTTTTTGTTGTCTATAATATAAATAGGATTTTATTAAATTATATGCCTGTCCCCTTATTAGTGGCGAAAGTATTTATCTTAAAGCTGATGAAAGCGAAAGATACACTTTCGATAGGGGGAAAGTTGCTAGTGGGGTAGCATGCAACGGAAAGCGAAATGTTCGAGTATCGCACGGCGGTTGTAGTAGTTTGAAACATTTTTGAAAAAAAAAGTTGATGTGTGACGTTGAGATGGGAATGCTGTCGCTGTTAATTTCGTTAAGGGGCTTTCGGGGGGAGGGGGTTTACAGACGGTGACACTGAGATAGAGAGAGTTTGAGCTTGGAGAAAGGTACAGGTAGTTGGAAAAATTCACGTCAAAGACATTTATTTCATTGCAGCCTTCTAACATTCTTCCATTATCTAGTTCGATGTTATAGACTTGATTTTGTTTACATCCAGAACAAAATTGAATTAGTTATGTTTTTTCTAGTATATTTTCGTCAAACCATTCCTTTAGGATATCTATTGATTGTTTTGTTGTTTTTAGAGCGTCTTCATCTGTTTTGTGCTAATTATAACACTTGTAACATCACTAATTTTTCTAAATACTGGGGTAGGTCATTTACATAGAGAATAAATAACATGGGCCCCAAAACAGAGCCCTGAGGGACTCCTCTAATCGTAGATGTCCAATCAGAATACATTCTTTGTTTTTTTGTTGTCTATAATATAAATAGGATTTTATTAAATTATATGCATGTCCCTTTATTAGTGGCGAAAGTATTTATCTTAAAGCTGATGAAAGCGAAAGATACACTTTCGATGGGGGGAAAGTTGCTAGTGGGGTAGCATGCAACGGAAAGCGAAATGTTCGAGTATCGCACGGCGGTTGTAGTAGTTTGAAACATTTTTGAAAAAAAAAAGTTGATGTGTGACGTTGAGATGCGAATGCTGTCGCTGTTAATTTCGTTAAGGGGCTTTCGGGAAGGGGGGGGGGGGGTTTACAGACGGTGACACTGAGATAGAGAGAGTTTGAGTTTGGAGAAAGGCACAGGTAGTTGGAAAAATTCACGTCAAAGACATTTATTTCATTGCAGCCTTCTAACATTCTTCCATTATCTAGTTCGATGTTATAGACTTGATTTTGTTTAGATCCAGAACAAAATTGAATTAGTTATGTTTTTTCTAGTATATTTTCGTCAAACCATTTCTTTAGGATATCTATTGTTTGTTTTGTTGTTTTTAGAGCGTCTTCATCTGTTTTGTGCTAATAATAATACTTGTATCATCACTAATTTTTCTACATACGGTGGTAGGTCATTTACATAGAGAATAAATAACATGGGCTCCAAAACAGAGCCCTGACGGACTCCTCTAATCATAGATGTCCAATCAGAATACATTCTTTGTTTTTTGTTGTCTATAATATAAATAGGATTTTATTAAATTATATGCCTGTCCTCTTATTAGTGGCGAAAGTATTTATCTTAAAGCTGATGAAAGCGAAAGATACACTTTCGATGGGGGGAAAGTTGCTAGTGGGGTAGCATGCAACGGAAAGCGAAATGTTCGAGTATCGCACGGCGGTTGTAGTAGTTTGAAACATTTTTGAAAAAAAAAGTTGATGTGTGACGTTGAGATGCGAATGCTGTCGCTGTTAATTTCGTTAAGGGGCTTTCGGGGAAGGGGGGTTTACAGACGGTGACACTGAGATAGAGAGAGTTTGAGCTTGGAGAAAGGCACAGGTAGTTGGAAAAATTCACGTGGATCGTGAGCGCTGCATCGAACGCAGCTGGGCCGGGCAGCCACAATTCGGGGCGCAGGCTCGAGAAGCAGCGTAAGGCTGTAGACATATTCTACTATCGTACACATGTTACCGCGCTGTGCGATAGCCAAGTTCGGCCGCGAATCCTAAAGCGCCTCAACTCAGGTGAGTCTACGTGTTCTGCACGTATTATAGGTCAGTGACCAGTGTCGATCAAATTTTCCCGCCGTACCGTCGCTCGCGATTTTTTTACACCAATTTTTTTCGAGCGCTTTCTCAAATTTTTGATCACAACAACAACTTTCAAAAACTAGTTTTTGTTGCGATAAATCGCGCTCCAAAACTTTTTCGGACCGAATTTTCTCTATAAATAAACAAATTGTTCTAGGTGCAACAGGTCAATTCTATGTCAAAGACCCAACATGCTCTAGACTACCGTCATGGTAGATAGTCACCGTCCCAGTGTTAACCAGACAGCAGAAGAGCCAAGGCCACGGCCAAGGTAACAAAACCAACATTTTTTTTTTAGCGCTAAATTATTACCGTACAAAATTGTCTCTGGAACGGTATATACTCGTACTCGTAATTTATAATTATATTAGGTATTCTGTGAAAGTAAACCTGTCGATGCAATTTATTAATTAAAATTTAATTATTTCCCAGATATTTTCTACTACGTTACCCTTTACATATTACAATATATTTAGTCCGCTTTTGTCGACTTACAAAAATGGTGGATGCGCCGGGATTAATATAATTATTTTTTAAGTTTATTTTATACGAAAAATATGCCTCATATTGCAAAAATTAGTGCTTTGTCAGAATTGTTATACAGGGTGTTCTCATAGTTATTCAATGCTTTGAGGCATTAATTTTAAATGCTGTTTTTTATTTCGTCTGTTTGTACCTAAATAATTTAAAGGAGTAAATTTTGCCACCAAAATGTATTTATTTTATTTACAGTAATTTTGGCAAAAAATTTTGAGTAATTATGCCTGTAATCTCCCCTGGTTTAGGAAGTATTAAAAAAAACATTTTCAGCCTCGTTTTTGTTTATTTACAAAAATGGCGAATGTCCCGGGATACTTAAATAAACATTTTTGTTATTAATTTGCTATAAAATTAAATTGAACAAAGATTATTAACATTGTTATACAGGGTGTTCTTAAAGTTAAATGTGCATTATATTACAAAAATTAGTGTTTGGTCAAAATTGTCAAAATTAATTTTAAATGCTATTTTTTATTTTTTTCTTAAAATATTTTTGTACCTTAATAAATTAAAGGGGTAAATTTTTCCAAGTTCCACCAAAATGTATTATTTTATTTACAGTAATTTTGGCATAAAATGTTGGGTAATTATACCAAATTTTACTCTGGTAATCTCCCCAGGTTTAGGAAGTATTCAAAAAAACATTTTCAGCCTCATGAGTCGTTTTTGTATATTTACAAAAATGGCGAGTGCCCCGGGATACTTAAATAAACATTTTTGTTATTAATTTGCTATAAAATTAAATTGAACAAAGATTATTAACATTGTTATACAGGGTGTTCTTAAAGTTGAATGTGCCTTACATTCCAAAAATGAGTGTTTGGTCAAAATTGTCAAAATTAATTTTAAATGCTATTTTTTATTTTTTTTGTTAAAATATTTTTGTACCTAAATAAATTAAAGGGGTAAATTTTTCCAAGTGCCACCAAAATGTATTTATTTTATTTACAGTAATTTTGGCATAAAATGTTGGGTAATTATACCAAATTTTACTCTGGTAATCTCCCCAGGTTTAGGAAGTATTCAAAAAACATTTTCAGCCTCATGAGTCGTTTTTGTATATTTACAAAAATGGCGAGTGCCCCGGGATACTTAAATAAACATTTTTGTTATTAATTTGCTATAAAATTAAATTGAACAAAGATTATTAACATTTTTATACAGGGTGTTCTTAAAGTTGAATGTGCCTTACATTCCAAAAATGAGTGTTTGGTCAAAATTGTCAAAATTAATTTTAAATGCTATTTTTTATTTTTTTTGTTAAAATATTTTTGTACCTAAATAAATTAAAGGGGTAAATTTTTCCAAGTGCCACCAAAATGTATTTATTTTATTTACAGTAATTTTGGCATAAAATGTTGGGTAATTATGCCAAATTTTACTCTGGTAATCTCCCCAGGTTTAGGAAGTATTCAAAAAAACATTTTCAGCCTCATGAGTCGTTTTTGTATATTTACAAAAATGGCGAGTGCCCCGGGATACTTAAATAAACATTTTTGTTATTAATTTGCTATAAAATTAAATTAAACGAAGATTATTAACATTGTTATACAGGGTGTTCTTAAAGTTGAATGTGCCTTATATTACAAAAATGAGTGTTTGGTCAAAATTGTCAAAACTAATTTTAAATGCTATTTTTTATTTTTTTCTTAAAATATTTTTGTACCTTAATAAATTAAAGGGGTAAATTTTTCCAAGTGCCACCAAAATGTATTTATTTTATTTACAGTAATTTTGGCATAAAATGTTGGGTAATTATACCAAATTTTACTCTGGTAATCTCCCCAGGTTTAGGAAGTATTCAAAAAACATTTTCAGCCTCATGAGTCGTTTTTGTATATTTACAAAAATGGCGAGTGCCCCGGGATACTTAAATAAACATTTTTGTTATTAATTTGCTATAAAATTAAATTAAACAAAGATTATTAACATTGTTATACAGGGTGTTCTTAAAGTTGAATGTGCCTTATATTCCAAAAATGAGTGTTTGGTCAAAATTGTCAAAATTAATTTTAAATGCCATTTTTTATTTTTTTTTGTTAAAATATTTTTGTACCTAAATAAATTAAAGGGGTAAATTTTTCCAAGTGCCACCAAAATGTATTTATTTTATTTACAGTAATTTTGGCATGAAATGTTGGGTAATTATGCCTGTAATCTCCCCTGGTTTAGGAAGTATTAAAAAAAACATTATCAGCCTCGTAGTGGTTTTTCGCACAATTTTTTCATACCACTTTTTTATTATTTACCCTGTATATTTACAAAAATGGCGTAGCTCCCGGGATACTTAAATAAACATTTTTGTTATTAATTTGCTATAAAATTAAATTGAACAAAGATTATTAACATTGTTATACAGGGTGTTCTTAAAGTTGAATGTGCCTTATATTACAAAATGAGCGTTTGGTCAAAATTGTCAAAATTAATTTTAAATGCTATTTTTTATTTTTTTTGTTAAAATATTTTTGTACCTTAATAAATTAAAGGGGTAAATTTTTCCAAGTGCCACCAAAATGTATTTATTTTATTTACAGTAATTTTGGCATAAAATGTTGGGTAATTATGCCAAATTTTACTCTGGTAATCTCCCAAGGTTTAGGAAGTATTCAAAAAAACATTTTCAGCCTCATATGAGTCGTTTTTTTATATTTACAAAAATGGCGAGTGCCCCGGGATACTTAAATAAACAATTTTGTTATAAATTTGCTATAAAATTAAATTGAACGAAGATTATTAACATTGTTATACAGGGTGTTCTTAAAGTTGAATGTGCTTTATATTACAAAAATGAGTGTTTGGTCAAAATTGTCAAAATTAATTTTAAATGCTATTTTTTATTTTTTTTGTTAAAATATTTTTGTACCTAAATAAATTAAAGGGGTAAATTTTTCCAAGTGCCACCAAAATGTATTTATTTTATTTACAGTAATTTTGGCATAAAATGTTGGGTAATTATGCCTGTAATCTCCCCTGGTTTAGGAAGTATTAAAAAAAACATTATCAGCGTAGTGGTTTTTCGCACAATTTTTTCATACCACTTTTTTATTATTTATCCTGTATATTTACAAAAATGGCGTATGCCCCGGGATACTTAAATAAACATTTTTGTTATTAATTTGCTATAAAATTAAATTGAACAAAGATTATTAACATTGTTATACAGGGTGTTCTTGAAGTTGAATGTGCCTTATATTACAAAAATGAGCGTTTGGTCAAAATTGTCAAAATTAATTTTAAATGCTATTTTTTATTTTTTTCTTAAAATATTTTTGTACCTTAATAAATTAAAGGGGTAAATTTTTCCAAGTGCCACCAAAATGTATTTATTTTATTTACAGTAATTTTGGCATAAAATGTTGGGTAATTATACCAAATTTTACTCTGGTAATCTCCCCAGGTTTAGGAAGTATTCAAAAAACATTTTCAGCCTCATGAGTCGTTTTTGTATATTTACAAAAATGGCGAGTGCCCCGGGATACTTAAATAAACATTTTTGTTATTAATTTGCTATAAAATTAAATTAAACAAAGATTATTAACATTGTTATACAGGGTGTTCTTAAAGTTGAATGTGCCTTATATTCCAAAAATGAGTGTTTGGTCAAAATTGTCAAAATTAATTTTAAATGCCATTTTTTATTTTTTTTTGTTAAAATATTTTTGTACCTAAATAAATTAAAGGGGTAAATTTTTCCAAGTGCCACCAAAATGTATTTATTTTATTTACAGTAATTTTGGCATGAAATGTTGGGTAATTATGCCTGTAATCTCCCCTGGTTTAGGAAGTATTAAAAAAAACATTATCAGCCTCGTAGTGGTTTTTCGCACAATTTTTTCATACCACTTTTTTATTATTTACCCTGTATATTTACAAAAATGGCGTAGCTCCCGGGATACTTAAATAAACATTTTTGTTATTAATTTGCTATAAAATTAAATTGAACAAAGATTATTAACATTGTTATACAGGGTGTTCTTAAAGTTGAATGTGCCTTATATTACAAAATGAGCGTTTGGTCAAAATTGTCAAAATTAATTTTAAATGCTATTTTTTATTTTTTTTGTTAAAATATTTTTGTACCTTAATAAATTAAAGGGGTAAATTTTTCCAAGTGCCACCAAAATGTATTTATTTTATTTACAGTAATTTTGGCATAAAATGTTGGGTAATTATGCCAAATTTTACTCTGGTAATCTCCCAAGGTTTAGGAAGTATTCAAAAAAACATTTTCAGCCTCATATGAGTCGTTTTTTTATATTTACAAAAATGGCGAGTGCCCCGGGATACTTAAATAAACAATTTTGTTATAAATTTGCTATAAAATTAAATTGAACGAAGATTATTAACATTGTTATACAGGGTGTTCTTAAAGTTGAATGTGCTTTATATTACAAAAATGAGTGTTTGGTCAAAATTGTCAAAATTAATTTTAAATGCTATTTTTTATTTTTTTTGTTAAAATATTTTTGTACCTAAATAAATTAAAGGGGTAAATTTTTCCAAGTGCCACCAAAATGTATTTATTTTATTTACAGTAATTTTGGCATAAAATGTTGGGTAATTATACCAAATTTTACTCTGGTAATCTCCCCAGGTTTAGGAAGTATTCAAAAAAACATTTTCAGCCTCATGAGTCGTTTTTGTATATTTACAAAAATGGCGAGTGCCCCGGGATACTTAAATAAACATTTTTGTTATTAATTTGCTATAAAATTAAATTGAACAAAGATTATTAACATTGTTATACAGGGTGTTCTTGAAGTTGAATGTGCCTTATATTACAAAAATGAGCGTTTGGTCAAAATTGTCAAAATTAATTTTAAATGCTATTTTTTATTTTTTTCTTAAAATATTTTTGTACCTTAATAAATTAAAGGGGTAAATTTTTCCAAGTGCCACCAAAATGTATTTATTTTATTTACAGTAATTTTGGCATAAAATGTTGGGTAATTATGCCAAATTTTACTCTGGTAATCTCCCCAGGTTTAGGAAGTATTCAAAAAAACATTTTCAGCCTCATATGAGTCGTTTTTGTATATTTACAAAAATAGCGAGTGCCCCGGGATACTTAAATAAACATTTTTGTTATTAATTTGCTATAAAATTAAATTGAACAAAGATTATTAACATTGTTATACAGGGTGTTCTTAAAGTTGAATGTGCCTTATATTTAAAAAATGAGTGTTTGGTCAAAATTGTCAAAATTAATTTTAAATGCTATTTTTTATTTTTTTCTTAAAATATTTTTGTACCTTAATTAGGGGTAAATTTTTCCTAGTGCCACCAAAATGTATTTATTTTATTTACAGTAATTTTGGCATAAAATGTTGGGTAATTATGCCTGTAATCTCCCCAGGTTAAGGAAGTATTAAAAGAAACATTTTCAGCCTCATAGGAGTCGTTTTTGTATATTTACAAAAATGGCGAATGCCCCGGGATACATAAATAAACATTTTTGTTATTATTTGCAATAAAATTAAATTAAACAAAGATTATTAACATTGTTATACAGGGTGTTCTTAAAGTTGAGGCATTCATTTTTTAATTTTTTAATGTTTTTTATCTTGTGATTTATCACATAAATTAATAAACAGTAAAATTCCGAAATATCCCTCGCCGTATTTAACGAAAATGTTTTTGACAAAATTAATTAGATTAAACTTAAACAAAGAATAAAAATGGCAAATTCCGAGGAACTTGAAAATTATTTTAAAGATAAAAATGCATTTGTGAGTTTAATTAAAATATTTTGACACTCAAGGATTAGGGGTTTTATGAAGTGGGGCATTCAATTAATTTTTTGATAAGGCTATGAAAACGAACAGTAACATTTTAAAAGGAGAGAAATTTAATTTTCCTGTTTGCAACGCTTCTTTAACAAATTAAAGAAAAATATAAATCCTTTAAATATTATTTTATTAATTTATGTAACATCGTTAGTTGAAATTAAAACTGCATTACCACTGTCAAGGAATTAAAAGATTATAAAAAATTTAACTCCAGTAAGTAATAAATGTACCTAAACATGTTCACCTTGTTTTGTTACTCTAGCTTATACAGAGTGTTTAAAAATTATTAAAAAATGGTATTTAAATACATAATCTGTTTTTAAATTTAAAAAATACCATAACAACTTTTGAGGTTATCTATTATTCATAGAGGGCCATTTACATATTTCTTTATAAACAAAATTATTGTTTGTCAAATTTCGATTTTATTTCTAAAATTTTCGGTTGTGTAAAATAAAATTTATAAGGCAATTAATTTAAAAGCTGACTACAAAACCCAATACAGGAAATTATCTTGACGGAAAATTTTATCCGGGGATTAATATTAAAACGAACATGTGGTGCGGACGCTTTTTGATAAAATTTATACGAGAAAATTTCTTAAATGATTTTAAACAATGCATAACGCATTTTTTATTTTTTCAGATGGGGAAGTTTTGACATACATCCACCTCTTTTGACACTGAACCCGGAACACTCAAAAATTTACGCTAGGCGGCACTCGGCCCACACATGCCCGGTAACAGAAGAAAAACATGCACCAATCCAAAACGTAAGTCTTGATTTTTTTAGTTTTTTATATGGTGCATATTTATAATTAAAACACACTGTGATTTTATGGAGTTATCGAGGTTTAAAGAAACATGAAATAATTGTTGTTTACTAGAATCCGAATAAAATTTTCCTGTTTGTTATTGAGTTTATGTAAAGATAGCATTGAGCGAGGAAAACTTAATTTCAAAGGGGTATATATTTATACGGATGCTGCGGCGGATGAATAAATATTGAAAAGGAATACCAAGTAAGTTTGAAAACGTGTCGTAAAATAATATTGTTAATCAAGGAAAAGCAAGGCGAAGCTCTGCATTACGCAAAACGGGTAAAGCATTTTGATAAACCTTGAAAAAATGTTTGAAATATTTTCTCAATATTTAAACATCGGCTGAGTAAATCAAAGAAATAACAGAGCGCCCCTTGCTCGTTCAATTTACCGAACGCGCTCACGTCTCCTTGGCAAGAAAAAATTATTTCAACTTATTTGATTTCAATTAAAGAAACTCAATGGCACAAGTTAGCAGTGATATTTGAGAAAGAAATCGACACCTTAACGAGATAAATTTGAGTTATTAAAAGGGAACATTTCAGAAATACACATTCTTTAGCTTCATCGAATTGGTAATTGTTTAACCGAAATCTCGAATATGACGGTTTTGTTTTCCAAATTAATGGCGTTAATAACCAATAATCATCCCAACAATGGAACCTCGCTACTTTGTTTTAGTGAGCGATATTTTAAGCGAAATGAACGTTATTAAGTTAACGATATAATATTAATTAAAAGTCCATTTAAACAATTGACTGACGTGTTCGTATGTTAAAAAACAAACTAACGACTTAAACCTGCCACAGGGGATCAAATCCAATCCAATCCAATCAATCTACCTCGTTCGATTACACAAACATAACATCGCTTCAAATCAAATCCATAAAACGCCTAACAGTAATTAAAACCCTTCAACTGACAAAACCTTTACAGGCGACGCAGAATACAATCATGCCGCCTCCGATCCCCTTGCGTCCGCCAGCGGTACCCAAAAGAAACAATGCACCGGCAAAACCCAACGAAAGACGTCACCCGAACACGCCGCCTCCTTTGCCGCCGACGCCAAAGTCGCGCGTGCTACCCCAAATAGCCGGCGGGTTTGAGGCGGCCAAACCGAAACCGCCTCTACGCAACATGGTTTCGGTGGATTCGAACCTAAACCGGCGGTACGATGTAAACAGGAACTCGTCCCCGAAACAACTGAATAACAAAATACCTGTGGCGTTCGCTTTCGAAAGCCACAACGCCAACCAGGAGATACCAAAGCTACCGCCCGCCCCCAGCGGACCGCCGCCTCCTTGTCCGAAAACCCACAAACTCCCTCAGCAATCCAGCAAACCACCACCCACGCCTGGCAGAGTTTCATTAAGACAGGATTCCAGTGTATCAAGCGACAGCTTCAGCCAAACATCGTCACCGAGTTACACCACCAAAACAATGGAAACCCCCTTACTCCCTCCAAAAACTCCCATACACAAACATCAAAACGGCGGTCTACTGTCAAAGGTTGTCAAAGACATCGAAGAAGATCCCAATGGAAACAACACCAACTTAACCAAAAGCGCATCGACCCCGGCCAGTCTACAAGCCGTTGTCAAATTCCACAACGGCTCCAACATGTCATTACACCACAGGGTAAGTACCGACGCATGTCTGTTTTAATTAGCATGAATCAAGGGTATCAAGTTCTGTTATTAAATCAGATGTCCAGAGAAAAACTGACTTTCTGCTCTAGCCTTCAAGTGCAAGATTGATAGAATGCAGTTAACGCTTTCGTCATAGAAAACAGATCTCGTTACAGTTTTATAATTTTATAAATAGTTCCTAAAAATTTTCCAGAAGCAATAGCCACAATGGACATCTAGGAAATGCAAGATTTTAATGATCAATTTTCGTCAAAAATGTCAGATAACAAAGTCTATCTCCAGCATAAACATCATTTAATTTCTTATGTATTATCAAAAATGCTCAAACATCTTCCAGACCTTTCCAAATTCCAAACGATGTGAACTCTAGCCTTCAAGTGCAAGATTGATAAAATGCAGTTAACGCTTTCGTCATAGAAAACAGATCTCGTTTCAGTTTTATAATTTTGTAAATTGTTCCTACAAATTTTCCAGAAGCAATAGCCACAATGGACATCTAGGAAATGCAAAATTTCTTCAACATTCTAATGATCAATTTTCGTCAAAAATGTCAGATAACAAAGTCTATCTCCAGCATAAACATCATTTTATTTCTTATGTATTATCAAAAATGCTCAAACATCTTCCAAACCTTTCCAAATTCCAAACGATGTGAACTCTAGCCTTCAAGTGCAAGATTGATAAAATGCAGTTAACGCTTTTGTCACAGAAAACAGATCTCGTTTCAATTTTATAATTTTGTAAATTATCTTCATGTTCCCACAAATTTTCCAGGAGCAATAGCCACAATGGACATCTAGGAAATGCAAAAATTTTTCAACATTCTAATGATCAATTTTTGTCAAAAATGTCAGATAACAAAGTCTATCTCCAGCATAAACATCATTTAATTTCTTATGTATTATCAAAAATGCTCAAACATCTTCCAGACCTTTCCAAATTCCAAACGATGTGAACTCTAGCCTTCAAGTGCAAGATTGATAAAATGCAGTTAACGCTTTCGTCATAGAAAACAGATCTCGTTTCAGTTTTATAATTTTGTAAATTGTTCCTACAAATTTTCCAGAAGCAATAGCCACAATGGACATCTAGGAAATGCAAAATTTTTTCAACATTCTAATGATCAATTTTCGTCAAAAATGTCAGATAACAAAGTCTATCTCCAGCATAAACATCATTTAATTTCTTATGTATTATCAAAAATGCTCAAACATCTTCCAAACCTTTCCAAATTCCAAACGATGTGAACTCTAGCCTTCAAGTGCAAGATTGATAAAATGCATTCATAGAAAACAGATCTCGTTACAGTTTTATAATTTTGTAAATTGTTCCTACAAATTTTCCAGAAGCAATTAGCCACAATGGACATCTAGGAAATGCAAAATTTCTTCAAGATTCTAATGATCAATTTTCGTCAAAAATGTCAGATAACAAAGTCTATCTCCAGCATAAACATCATTTAATTTCTTATGTATTATCAAAAATGCTCAAACATCTTCCAGATCTTTCCAAATGTCAAAGGATGTAAACTCAAGATGTCAGGGAATTATCGACTGTATTGCCTTGACATTTAATGTTCCCTTTACACTTGATAAATCTTTTGGGAATTTTCATTCAAAGTTTAGTTTGCATAAGCTGGATAATGAAAAAGTGGTTTTTATTTTAGATAATCAGAGACCTGAGAAGACCCTCGAGCGTGTACGGTCGTAGGCTTCGCTTCCGACTTGCTCAAGTAATTTTAAATGCAGTAGCGTTATTCGCTATTGGTGCAGGCATGGCGGCATATTTCAAAGGTAAAGTCGACTTGATAGTTGAGTTAATTATCGAAAGTCCAAATGTTCAATAATTCCAGCTTATCCGACAAACGTAACGATTGTGAACACGACGGTAATCAACGTAACTTCGACTCCGTTGCGGATCGAGGTGAACCCCGCTCCCGGCATATGTTTGCCGGTGATCGTGAAATTTTGCCAGGACCATAAAGTTCCCTACAACTTTACAGTTTATCCAAACTACATGGGTCATTTTGGTCAACGTGACGCCGAACACGAGCTCGAAGTGTACGATGCAGTTGTTGACGTTCGCTGCTACGAATTGGCCGCATTGTTTCTCTGCTCTCTATTTGTTCCCAAATGCGGACCAGTTGGCGACGTCGTTAGACCATGCAAAAGCCTATGCGAAGGTACAAACAATAAGCTAATCCTTACTCGAAACTAAGCCGCTGGTTATAGAGGAAGCTTGTAATCAGGTCAAATAATTATAAAAGTGTATGGATTAAAGATGGAAAATAAATATTCACCATATCATTTAAATGATACGCTGATATCAATCAGTGCATTTTTCTGACGATTTGGCAAACTTTTCTTAGAGAACGTATACAATCAAGTCAAATGCACTGATTTGTTACAGTGTGTGAAAAGTTTTTGGAAATCTCATTTAAATTTTTTCTGATGATTTGTACTGATCGCAACTTACCTTAGATCAAAACGGTTACTTGGTGGTTATCCGTAACTTCAAGTTTGTAATGAGGTCAAATGCACTGAATTCATAAAGTGTATCAAATCCGTTTCTACCCCTAACCCGCACAAGCCATTCAGTTGGCTTCTGGGACTTCTTAGGAAGTAAGGGTGGAACTAAAAGAGCAAAAAAAAAAGATGGAAAATAAATATCCAGTCATTTAAATTTGTTACCTTTGATACGCTGATATGAATCAGTGCATTTTCCTGATGATTTGGCGAAGTTAACGGATAAACAAATTAAATATTCTCTTCCGGTACATATTAGATAAAATAGAAGGTAAGATGTGGAGTCGTTTATTTTTCTTTCAGAAACAAAAAAGCGTTGCGGATTTTTTCTCGACGTTTTCGGCTTAGCATTGCCAGATTACCTGGACTGTGACCTTTTTCCAGAGTCTATAAACCCAAACGAATGCGTTGGCCATCGAGAAGTCCAAGCTGAAAAACTTCGACAGCTTCGACCTGGTAAGTGCCCTCTCTTAAATATTTAATCAAAAGGTATTTGAAATGACATTTATCTGACAGTAAAAAGTTTTTGCTTTTTCCGCCGTGACGTGGCTATATACTATTTTTTTTAAGCGGTTAATTATTCTTTATACAGTTTGAATATGTGCATATGTGCATTACAGTAACCTGTAATTTAACAGATACCTACACTGGTTTTGAGTTAAATGCGATAGATTGAAACATATCCTACATACAATTTTATGTTTAAGCCTCGCTCTAAAAGCCGGGACTTATACTTTTAATTGATCATTTGTGTACTTGAGTAAATCTCTTATATTACTGGTACTCGAGACTTAACAATCAAGCGGCTTTATGCTATGAAGGCCGCTTGATTTTATATGTTTATTCGAATATGTAGGTATTATACATCGCGTTCTATTGAATTTTAAATTGATGTTAAACTTTTATCCGTTATGTATGAATATAAATAACTTAAATTTCTTCAATTTACATACGGGCGATTTTATATAAAATAAAAAACATGTTTAATGAAAGTATTCTTTTGAAGGGCTACAACAATTTAAATAGGAACTCGCATGTTGTGCGTGTTGAATTTAAATTTTTGTCAAATTTGAAAATTAATTGTTGACCAAAAATATTCCTATAAACAATCCGGTGCTGATTTAGTGAAATTATGTGTTATTTACTGTGCGTTGTATTAGGTAGAACATTATTAGGAAAGTTGGGTAAATTATTTAAAATATGTTAAAAGCGGTTTATGTTTGGCTTAAAGATCCGCAAACTTCATTTGCTGATATTGAAGAGGGTCTGAATAATCCTTAAAACTTTTAACCGCAAGTCTTCGCTTTAAAGTTGAGCTTGAAATTTTTTGTTTAACATTCTTCAAAATACTTTCAATAGAAAATATTCTGTATAAAATTGGAGCACGGCATTTTATATTGCATTGTTCTGATTGGTTTATATAGTTGTGTTTTATTTTTTTAAAAGAATGTATATTAAAGTCGGAGCACCCTGTATTATTTGAAAACAAAAGCTCATCGTCAGATCACAGTTAATACAAAAAGGGCGATAAAAGTTAAATTGATTTTCTTCCTATAGCTCAAAGGGGAATGAAAAGTTTTGATGAGAGATTTCCAAAATATTGATTTAACGTTAAAAACGCTAGTCAATAACCGTTAAATAAGCCATTGATGCTGGACCTTTTTATGCTTAGCAAATACTTTTTATTATCTTTATATATACAGTAAAACCCGAACAAAATCAACAGATCGCCGACATTAATGTTATCCTATTGATTTGGCTGCGTTTAACAAAAGGCACGTGTGCTTTTAATATAATGTAATATTTTGTATGAAGAATCATCAACCTAACGCGTATATTTAAAGGACTAAAAGAAGGCAACCATTTTGATGCACGGAGCTTTTGTCTCTTTCCATCGTACTTGGAGTCTTATGCGCATGTTAAGACGTTACTTATTCCAGGCGACGTTCTTTTATTCGTTCAATTCCATTTTCGGACATGCGCATAATACTTCAAGTACGACGCATATATGTCTAATAGATATATCACTACATTTGCTGCTGAATGACTGGTAATATATATTTAACATCATTTTGTGGGTGATTATTAAAAGAGAGAAAGATAACAAAACGGTATCTTGATAAAGAACTGGTGTTTTAAAGGTGTTGCGGCATTGTGGAGAAAGTCGGGATGAGTGCTTTTGATTGTGAATTTTTCAGTTTGCCCGACCGGCTTCCAATGCGACTCAAAGAGGTGTATACCAAAGGACTGGCAGTGTGACGGTTACGTCGACTGTAAAGATCAATCGGACGAACTGAACTGTCATAAATGCGGCACCGGTATGATACATTGCGGTGCCGACAAGTGCATTACGCAGGAACACATGTGCGATGGTAAAGTCGATTGTCCATGGGGACAAGACGAACGGAATTGCTGTAAGTAGAGAGAGAGAGAGAGTTGTTCGCCCCAGGCCAAATTCCTAATTGATGGTGTCTATTGCAGTGCGATTAAGCGAAAGAAATGGAGACGAAGGTAAAGGGCAATTGGAGGTCTATCGACCGGATCAAGAGAAATGGGTGCCGGCATGCGTCGCTCACTGGGACGAAAAATCGCCCAAGAAAATCTGCTCCATACTAGGATACTCGTAAGCAAACACTTTTCTCCTTATAAAGTTTAATCACGAATATTACGTCGGTTCTTTTAACGCTGAGAGACTCTTTGATAAGAACACACATCAAGAAAAGTGTGACTGAGTCAAACACGGATATTAATTTCAGGCATGCAAACAGAAGTCAACTGTTGAAGGGCATCGACATCAAGTCGCCGCCAATCCACGAAACAACGACCCTATGGAGGATGAATCAGAACAAGCCGCCGAAAAATTTGCTGAGGCAGTTCGGGTCGTGCAATAAGACCACCTACCCCACCGTCAACTTATCCTGCATGGATTTCAGTAAGTATTGCCGTACTGTCAGCTATCGCAGGCATGTTTAATTCGGAGCGAGGCTCCGCTAATTTACTTACAACTATGCCACTACTATTTCAATTAACCGAAATGCATGAACACGAACAATGTCAGATTTTCGGGTTTAACCTTGTTAAGGTGTCTCTAGTGTCAGGGAAATGCGGAAATTCTTAATGAACAATTTCTTTCAGTGTGTGGAAAGGCGAGGAAAAGTTACGCTGAACGGCGGGCTTTACGTATCGTAGGCGGCGTGGCCTCAAAACCTGGCGACTGGCCCTTTTTGGCCGCCCTTCTCGGAGGGCCCGAGGAAATTTTTTATTGTGCCGGAGTGCTTATAGCAGATCAATGGGTCCTTACAGCCTCGCATTGTGTCGGAAAGTAAGATTTTTCCCCTTTGACTTGCATTTTGGAAAAGCTTCAGTATTTTTTTTGTTTTTGAAGATTTATAAAAACTTCAAAATGCGATTAAAAGAATGTCATTTTTTTGGTAAACCCTCAAAAATTTGATGAAATTGTTGATAAATTAAAAAAGTTACGTGCTGATTTAGTTTGGAAAAGTTGAGTAGTGTATTTTTTTCCCTTAGCCACTCGGATGTTTCTGGATGGAAAATTCAGCTGGGCATCACCCGACGGCATTCTCATGCCTTTTATGGGCAGAAAATGCGCGTAAAAAGGGTAGTTCCGCATCCGATGTACAACCTCGGCGTGGCACACGACAACGATATAGCTCTATTCCAGGTAAGTTTGCTTGCCTATCTGAAAGATAAAATTCGCGTGCTGATGGAATTATCTATTCATATAAATGCTCTCACGCCGGATTTCGCTTAAGCTTAAAGGGGGATCATCCTGCTTTTAAATCATCTTCGTACACTATCGAGCCACGTTCAAAATCCCAATAATTTTGTTAGTTATATTTCGTTGAACAAGTTTACTTACAAGCAGAAAAAAAGGATTTCTAAAAAAAAAATTGAAATCGATCCCGGTACCACTCGCGAGCTCTCTACCATCTGAGCTGCATATTAAACAGATAGATATAAATTGTTTGCATTATTCAAAATAATTTGTTGTTCACGTTAACGCAAATAAAATAAGGCGAAAAAACTTTGTCGGATGCTTCGCGTTGTGGGAATAATATTTTAAATTCTACTGCTTTACTCAGAGTTCTTTCATGTCAGTGATAAATGAATTGGCTGAAAAATCAATTACACTTTAGGGGTATCTTTATTGCCTCAACTAGGCATAAATATGTAAAGTGTCTGATTTAAAATTCATAACAAAAATAATGGACAAGTTTAGTTATTACGGCACCTTAAAATAATCCATTTTTATGGGCACGTAGACGCTAAATGCATTCATGCAGTCATATATGGAATTTATATTCATTTTTTTTTAATAATGGATGAAAGAAAGGTTTTGGACTTCAATTGCCTTCACGACGTTTCGAGTGGTGAGTATTACCAGTGGAAAAGTCATGACCAAGACAATGGAAGTCCATACAATAAACTTTCAAACAAACGTAACAAGGAAAACAACTAACAATGTACACGAGCTTGCTGTTCGGGTACTTGGTTCTTAGTAACGCGGAATGATCTTATAAGTCACGTGTAGTCGACATTCCGTAAAATTCTAAAAAGCACACAATAACTTTGAGCCAAGTTGACGGTTAATAGAGAGAGCGCAATTCTTTGTAAACAACTTTGTATTCATGACAATTTCTGGTAAGAAAGTATTTTCAGCTAGTGCCTGCTCGCTTTCACCGAACGCTTTCGTTAAAAAGCCACGCCGGCTTACATAAATAATAATACGCACGCTCCACCAAGTTCACCAATGAAAGGAGTCTATTTTAATCCCGTAGTATGTATATATAATAGTATATCGACTATTTAATGACGCGATTATATAAACTTATTATGTGTTAATTGCACAGTAAAGTTTCTTGAAAAAGTGAACTTGGCAGTTTTACATTTGTACTGTCTGATAGTGCATTTATCGGCGCGACTGTGACACACATAAGTTTGGCACGTGTTTTCTTTGTGCTGTTCCAGCTATCTTCCAGGGTATCTTTTCACGAACTTTTACTGCCCGTCTGTCTTCCGCCGGCACATAAACAACTTCATCCAGGCACGGTGTGCACTGTAATAGGATGGGGCAAGAAGGAAGACACTGGATGTAAGTAAAGGCTGCGATTACTTTAAAAACACCACCACCACCGACAACAACAACCGTTTACTCTCAATTAAGCAAAGCGACACAAACGACCAAAATTCTCTCCCCTCCGCAAACATCCCTAATTGATTATTAAACCTCCCCAGACTTGTTTTTTCAACCGAACCAATATCGGCTGCTGAGACAATATCGACGAGCACGCTGTTTGTTTATTTGCAGTGTCGGAATACGAGCCAGAAATCAACGAGGTCGAAGTGCCAATTCTCAACAGGGACTTATGCAACGACTGGCTCGAGAGCCGCGATCTTAACGTCACCGACGGAATGATTTGTGCCGGCTACATCCAGGGAGGCAAGGACGCCTGTCAGGTAGGCCATTTTTCTTACTCATCTCGGCCACGGTGGGACCCAACATTTAGTCCTCATTTTTTTATATTCTTCATTTCCATCAGGAAATTTGCGACTCTACTTTCTATAGGAAGTTATCTTTATAGAAAGCATTAAATCAGATCACGGTATTCTCCACAGCACACTAAAGTATACTTGGATATATATATATATATTGAATATATATATTCCCATACAGCACAAGATGTCCAGTGGACGTCAAATGGACTGATAGGTGCGTGCGACATACATAAAAGCGTGTATGAAATAAATTCTTAAGAAAAGAAAGGTTTTAACTTGGATTTAAAAGTATATTTTGTGATACTTAGAAATGTTAAAGTGCCCAGTTAGTGTAGACTTAAATATAGACGCAAAAAGTGATGTGAAATAACAATATTATTAGATATTTGATTTAAGTTAAAGTGTACAGCAATCGGAATTTTACTGCAAAAAACATTTAAAAAACCTTGTAAAAACAATTGACTGTTCGTTAATTTAATAGAAAAATAAAAAGTTGACCCGAGTCTGGGATCGAACCGGCGACCGTCGAGGTGTGCGTTGGACCTGTGCTTGCTGTTGGTGCTCTGGACGACTGAGCTACCGAAGGTGTTGATAAAATTTAAAATATGAGTAAACAAATCACTAATGAAGACCTGTTCAATTTGATCAAAAGTGAAAATCAGGTTCTAAAAACTGAAATAGCTAATGTAAAAAATGAAATAAAAAGTGAATTGGATATTTTAAAAATAAAAAATGAATATCTTGAGAAGGAAAATCAAGAATTGAAAAGACAAATTTTATTTCTGGAAAGAAGGCAAAAGAAATATAATGTGATAGTATATGGAATAGAAGGAGACGAACAACTAACTGATAATAAAACCCTAGCTGTATTAAATGAAGTCCTAAATATTCCATGTAATAATAAGGATCTACGTGATATACGCAGGATAGGAAAAAAAGTTGCTGGTAAACCCCGACCTGTCCAAATTGAAGTGATCAATTATAATTTGAAAAAAGAAATACTGAATAAATCAAAAGAAAAACAAGCAGAATTAAAAGAAAACAATATATTTTTTACCTCCGATTATGCATCCGAAGATTATAAGGAAAGAAAGTTACTAAGCCAATTTTTAAAAGCTGCCAAGGAAAAAAAATATAAAGCAAAAATTGAAAATAACAAACTTGTAGTCGACGGAAAAGAATACACTTGCAATCAACTTAAATCAAACACTTCCAAGATACTAAATAATAAAGCAAACATTGAAACAGAAGAAGTCTACGAATCATTACAAAAAAACCTTCATGAGAACATTGAACAAATATTAAGAAATACATACGAAGAGGACGAGGAAAATAAAAAAAGAAAATTCAAATTAACTCCCACCAAACCTATAGGAGCAGCACCAAAAAGGAACACCAGAGCTGAGGCTAAGAAAGTCCAAGGAGATCTGGGAGAAAAAACAACAATATAACCGCTTATTTTAAATTTACTGCTTATATAATTATTTTTTTCTTTTATTTTCTTTATACAATATCTATTCAATTTATTTTATACCCTAAGAATTTTTTTATTTTTTTAAATTTTTTTTTCTGGTTTTCTTTGTTAAGTACACTTACGGAATGAGGAATTTATCTTTTGCATTTTATAATGTACGATCATTAACAAACAATTTTGCAGATTTTAAGGTTTTTGTCTCACAAAAAAAATTTGATTTTATTGGTGTTTGTGAAACGTGGTTGTCTGAAAATGTAAACACTAATTTAATTGATATAGATGGATATAGGTTCTTTCGTCGAGATAGAGTAAGTAGAGGTGGTGGAGTGGGATTGTATTTGAACAACAATTTAAGCTGTGAACTATTATATACGGACCCTAATAACTGTGTTGAACAACTTTGGGTTAAAATTAGGTTTAATTATAAGTCATATATAATTGGGGTACTATACAGGCCACCAAATAAAAAAATACCTGATTTTATTGAATCGTTAGACAATGCTATATCTGACTTCTTGCCCGAATGTGATGAAATTATTTGTGGGGGTGATGTTAATATAGATTTGTTACAGTCTGAACATCAATCAACCTTGACATTTTTAAACTGTATTGATTCTTTTAATCTTAAACAAATTGTTGACTCTCCTACTAGAATAACTAAAAATTCAGCAAGTCTCATAGACATTATTTTAGTATATAATCACAACGAATCATACATTACTGGTACAGAAGAAATATATAATGTTTCAGATCACATGTTAGTTTATTGTAATATAAATTATGTTCAACCAAAAGTTAGTCCTAAATATATTCAGTGCAGAAGCTTGAAATACCTCGACCATAATTTGCTTTCAAATTTTCTGGAAACTGCTCCCTTCTATAATATCTTACTTATTGATAATATATGTGATAAGGTACAATTTTTTAATGCAATAATTATGAATATTTTTGATATATTAGCGCCTGTTAAAAAAGTAATAATTAAAAAGCAAAATCCTCCTTGGCTAACTGACAATATTAAATTAATGATGTCCTTGCGTGATAAAGCCCTTGCAAAATTTAAACGTACCAAACATGAAGAACATTGGAATTATTATAAACAGATTAAAAACCAACTAACATCGGCAATAAAAAACGAAAAAAAAGCATATTTGGAGTATTGTGCAAATAATTATCGTAACAACAGCCGGGTCCTTTGGAATAAGTTAGGCGATTTAAATATTCACAATAAACCTAAATCTAGAACCCTACCAGATAATTTAAATAAACCTGAGGAAATAAATAATCATTTATCGCAATACTCCAAATATACACCTCCAAATTTAGATCTTTTAAGTTATTACAACGCAAATTTAAAGCAAAATTTTGTAGATTTATTTAGTTTTTCCCTAACAACTGAAGATGAAATTAAAACTTGTATAAATAATATTACCACAAAATCGGTTGGATCTGATAAGTTGAGTATTGACATGATTAAATTGTGCCTGTCAACTATATTGCCTTATTTAACACACATAATAAATTCATGTCTTCTTGAAAGTTATTTTCCTGACCAATGGAAGGAATCCAGAGTAGTTCCATTGCCAAAGAAAACAGAAATAACGAATTTTAATGAGCTGCGTCCTATTTCCATTTTACCGGTACTTTCAAAGGTATTGGAAAAAATAATGAATATCCAAATTCGTAAACATCTAAATACATTTAATATACTACCGGCATTCCAATCAGGGTTTCGCCAAGGATACAGTTGCACAACTGCCCTCCTAGACGTAGTCGATGATATCATAAGAGATATTGATAAAGGTAAAACTGTTTGTCTAATTCTTCTGGATTACTCAAAGGCATTTGATACCATTAGCCACGAAATATTATATTCCATCTTGCATTATATTGGATTCTCTTATTCCTCCATTAATCTAATAAAAAGTTACTTAACTAACAGAGTCCAATATGTGCAAACTGACAAGGGTCAATCCAGAAAAACTCAAATAAAATGTGGTGTGCCGCAAGGGTCTATTCTGGGTCCATTACTTTTTAGTATATATACTTGCGAATTAACTAAATGTTTAAAATTCTGCAAAGCATTTTTATACGCAGATGATACACAGTTAATGTATTCTTTCGAACCAGACAACTTATTGTTGGCCAACTCTCGCATAAATGACGACCTAAACGCATTAGTCAAACTATCCAACAATCACCAGTTATGTATAAATTCACTAAAATCCTCAGTTCTTATATTTGGTAGGCAAAAACACTTAATCTCAAACTTGATTAAAATACAAATCGATGGAAATGATCTGACAACCAGTAAGGTGGCTAAGAACCTGGGTATCGAAATTGACTGTAATTTACGATTTGACAATTATGTTACTAATTGTCTAAAAAAGGCTTACAGTGCATTAAAAATTCTTTATCCTCACCGCCAAATATTATCACAAGAGCTTAAAATTAGATTAACTGACACTTTGGTTCTTAGCTACTTCAATTATGGTGATGTACTGTATGGTCCCTGTATAGATAAAAGAAATGTAAATCGTATACAGTACATTCAGAAATCATGTTTAAGATATATTTATGGTATAAGGAAATTTAATGCAGTATCTTACAAATTGTTAGACGCAAAATGGCTAAATATGGAAGAAAGACGAACACTTCATTCGGCAACACTGTTTCACTCCATAATAACAAGTAAAACACCACCATACTTACATAGGAAAATTCAATACCGTACCGATGTTCACAGCTTAAATTTAAGATTCAAAGGCCTAATATCCCCACCTGCTCATACAACTGCAATATTTAGACGATCCTTTTCATATAACGTTTATGCCATATACAATGACCTACCCGCACATCTTAAGACTCGGAAATTAAAACCTTTTAAATCTGCTTTAAAAAGGTTGATACTTAACAAGCTTTTGTAAAAACCACTATTTCCTGAAAAACCACTTTGTCGTTAAAACCTCTTTCTACATTAATTTTTATTTTAAAATAGTCATGGACCTATATTAATTTTGTTTATTTTGTTTTTAAATTTGTTTTGGGCTGGAATTACAATCAGATTAGTCTGCCTTCCAGTCCATTTTGTTGTATCAGATTAGTTTTGTATATTTCTCTTTATACTTTTAAAATGAAATGTATTATGTTTCTTTACAACAAATAAATTATTATTATTATTATTATTATTATTATTATTACATTGGATGTACAATGGTCGTCCGCTGGACGTCCAATGGATATATGTGCTGTGTGGGTTTATTAAACAGACGGAGTGGATAAATGGATTTGGTAAGTCGTAGGCCAAAGTTAACCCTTTGGTCTTGAAAGATGCCTGGCAGAGCTGGGAAAGTATCTAGTTACTTTGCTAAGATACTTTAAACAAAATAACTTAGTTACCTCGGGTAACTAGATGCTTTGAGTTGAAAGTATCTTTAGTTACAAGATACTGGAAAGTATCTAAGATACTTTTGAGTAACTAAGATACTTTTAAGTAACTAAGATACTTTTGAGTAACTAAGTTCCTTTTAAGTTGTAGGTTAGGTAAGTACTTTGAATCATTCTGGAATTCCCCCAATTTTCTCTAAGAAATAATCAATAAGTTACACTGAAAAGTATCTAAGTTACTTCAAAAAGTATCTTTGTTACTTTACCGAGTAACTTAGATACCTTTTTAGATACAAGATACTTTTCGAAAGTAACTAGATTAAATATACTTTCTGTCCAATATAAAAAGTATCTAAGGTAAAGTATCTCAGATACTTTAAGTATCTAAGTTACTTTTTTTTTCAAAATACTCCCAGCTCTATTAGAGCTAATATTGGTTGCAATAACCCATTCTTCTCCCATAGTGGTATTTCTGAATTCAATAGGAGCAGTACACTCACAAATATTGTGTGTCACATTCTCTTCCCCTTCAGTTACAAAGACTTTTCTCATCGTCTATAAATTTTTGTTTAGTCTACAGATCTTCGTTATAATCCCGACAAGGTTTTGACTAGTAAAACCAAAGAAACTCCGGTCACCGATCAGCAGCTGGACAGCGCGGTCCTTGGTCAAGTTTTACATAGGTATTAATTGGATTTCGTGCTTTCTATAGAGATCATTTTCTGTGGAAAGCAAAGTCGCAAATTTTAAATATTAAAACGTTTTTATCGGTCCCACCGTGTCTTTCTCATCACATACCTACTCACGACACATTTAAATTTATTTGTAATAACGGAGATAAAGTGTTCGCTTGATTTGTAACCAGCTGCAAACTTCGGAACACTTGTTTTGTTCGCTCGGTGTGTTTTTTTAATCTACGATGTGCATACTTGTTCGTATTTTATTTCGCTCACAAGGACGAAAAACGTTTTTGACACGCCATTAAATTGTCACTTAGAGTGGAAATATTTAGAGATGGGTCGAGTCTTTCCTAGAAAACTTTCCCTTGAAAACGACAAGGAATGTATCATGTACGTTATTTCTCATGTTGCTTTTTTCACTAAGTAATTTGTTTTTTACGTTTTTTTTTCTTAAAACCATCCTCCATTTAAATGAGGTCAAAAAATAACTTTTTTCTGAATAAAAAAAATCCAGAATAAAAAAAATGCAAAAGGGAAAGTTTTCGCGACTTGCCCATCTCTAGTGATGCATATGTATAACATTGGTGGTGTAGGGCGATTCCGGAGGGCCACTTCTCTGCAGAGACAAAAGCGACTCAGACAAATGGTTTGTAGGTGGCATTGTAAGTTGGGGTATAAAATGTGCCCATCCGAAACTTCCGGGCGTTTATGCCTACGTCCCGAAGTACATCCCGTGGATTCACCAGCAAATGAAAATCTACGACTCAAATTAAAAGAAGACAATAACTTCAATTAACACACGACAATAATCTTTTTTGGTCCTTTACTAATTTAAAAAAAAAAAAGGATTTATTATACAAGAATGAAAGGTACAAATTATACACGGTAAACTTGGTTTTCTAAGTCTTATACATGAAAGATTAGATATGTTATGTAGAAAAAAAAATAACAAAAAAAATTTGTTAACCTTGTGGTTTTTGTGTAGCAGATTTGCCACAAGGGGCTACGCACAAACGGCCCAATCTCGACCGTATTGTTCTACCCTTGTTTTTAATAAATTTTATTAGACTAGCCTACACTTACCTACGCCAAAACAAAGTTAATAATATTGAAAAACATTTTCAAATAATAATTTCTTACTTACTTTACCCCTACAGCACTTATATTTCTGAAAAATTGCTGCAATGTCTCTAGATTGCGTCTTACGTCTTACGTCAACCAATCAAATTGCTTAAAATGGACATGTGATTGGTTGACGTAAGATGTAAGCCGTAAAAGATGCATTCTGCGACAATTGTAGACCGGGCTTAAGCAGGATCATGTTTGCAAGCTCCGTGGAGTCCTCTTATAATAAATTCTAAATTTTAGAATAATGTAGGAAGCTAAAAACTAAGGTTTTTGTGTCGGTAAGTGTAGATTTTCTGGCAGAAAGTATTGTCGTTTTTGTGGCGCTGTGCAACGGAAAAATTACGAAATATCCCCGGTAACGATTGTTTTTGTAAATTTTCTGCTGTGCTTTATTTAGATTGATCCTATATAGTGATATCTCGTGACAATTCATGTAGTGTTCGAGCGGACCGCTAATATATGTGATCATATACAAAAAAAATAGCGATTTTCTATATTCTTATATATTTAATGATTAAATGCCAAACACACAAAAAATTCCAAGATTTGTTTATCCAACCTAAGAAATGATTCTATCCCTTTTTATATAAACCTTTTGGTCCTCTAGGATTATACTCAGTCTAGGAAATTCTTTCAACTTATTTAAATGTATTTCCCTGAATTTTACTACCATTTATTCCGACATTTTAAATTGGATTTTCTTTTCGATCGGACAACATATTTTAGTGACACTATTCGTACAAAAAAATAAACGTTTTTTGACACAGGGTGGACCAAAATAAAAAACGTTGTGTAAAAGTATTTCGCACCCGATCTATAATGACTAAAACGGTAAAAAGAAAACAGCACAATTCCGCGCGCGCAGTTCATACAGAACGTAGACGAAAAATATTCAATAATCAACTTATAAAACACAGCATACGAATGTAAAATTTTGTGCCACCCTATATCTACAAACTCAGTAAAATCATATTGCGGCACCTACTTTATCATTAATAGAATTCAAGTTTAAAGCTGCGGTTTTGCCAAAAGTTTTGTGGGTATTTAAACAAGGGTCCCTCACCAGACATATTCGCAGATAATGTCCTTTGCTTGAAGAACTTTTTCAAAAGCATTTGTCAAATCCTATTATTAGTTTAAAAGGCCATAATCATCCAATATATAACAACATTAAATTCCTCATTGTATTGCAGAAGGTTTGTTAGTGTATAGAATCTTCTGTGTCGCTTTAACTTACGCAAATAAATTAAAAAATCTACATTTTATGAAGAAGACACCGACATGTGGTTACTTTTTATCAATTTTATCGATACCGTATTTTCATTGTTGGTGTATACAGCTGACACAGCATAGCAGCAAACGGGTTTTAAGAGGGGGGATAATTTGACACGCTGCAAAATGCCCCCACTCTCTTTTAAGGCGTTCGGATGCCATTGTCACTGTATACAGTATATACAGTATGTATATATACTTTTAGCGTGAAAATATGGTAAAAATGCATGGTTTGGGATTTTTTCTGAATACAATGTTGTTTTTTTAATAACGGCTTGTGTACATATATTAAAAAATACAAAAAGGTACCATAGTTTTCTATAGATTTATAATGATGTTATCTAGTGTCTACTAAAGCGCAGGTCAACAGTATAAACGGCTTGTGGCAAAGAAAATTTGCCATTAATAACCGCGAGAGCTTACAGAGCCGTAATAAAGGATATAAAAATCATCTGAACGGTCGTCGTTTTATTTTTCCGGATTCGACAATCATTAAGATTTCTATTCAGGGTTCATATCATAAGGTACACATATCCCTAGACAGGACTCCTTCTATAATGCGCATTTAAACATTCTGTATACGTATTTCGCACCCGATCGATTAAAATTGCCCGCGCGTTCTTTTTAATATTAAATTGGGAATTAGCACAATTCGGCGCGCAATAAGTAAAGTTCAATTTTAACGTATACCGCATTACCGATCGGGTGCTAAATGTATGTACAGAATGTTTAAAGGGATTTACTTTGAAATTAATCTAACGGCCGTTAAAAAAATGAGTCAATATTATTAAATAAATCGGGAAAGAAAATATTTCAGATGCTGCTTTATACAAGTATAGTTTTTAAATTGACACTGTACTGACCCTTAGATTCTAATCGAAAGCCTTAGTGCTCTTTACACAACTAAAAAAATTACTTTTTAACTTAAATATACTTCTACAGTATTATCGGTGTGACAATAAGTATTTAGGTGAAGACTGACTTAAATTTTTGACAATAAAAAGTCCCTAGAATAGTAAGAAGTACGACTGCCCCTTTATACAAGTAAGAAAAAATCCTTAAAGCATTTGAAATTTTGGCTTTCGTCGCGTTATATCATTAAAGACATAAATATCCTTAATTGTAATGTCAAAAATTGGGCAAAATCAGCGAGGAAAGTAAGTGATAGACACATCTGATAATATTTTTGACAATAAATATATTTATAAAAAATATATGTGCGCATATATGCTATTTTGATAAATGAAGATTACAGTTTTGTTAGTAATGTTTAAATGTGACGTCAAAGTATTTGAATAATGAATTTTTTGGGGTTGCATAGATTTTTGTGATCATTATTGAAATACTTTGCTAGGTGGAGGCAACCTACGGATGCGCAAAATGCTACTGCGCACACTCTGCATCTGTGAGTGTTGTGATCGAGTTACTCCTCCTTTAGCTAGTCTTCTTGACTTTGCGATATTTACTTGACCAGCCATAATGTTTTTATATGTCGCACAATTGATTTGGTAATATAGCAAAATAAAAATAAATAAATGTTTGCTTTTCTATGGTGGTAACAATGATTTCATGTTAGATGTTAGCTATATGTCTTAATAATAGATTAGAATCACTGTTTGTGTTAATTTTCTACTGATATAGTCATCATTTATTATCATTTTTCTATACAACTTTTATATAATTGTTATAATATGTATTGTCAATTTTATACAAAAACAAAAATTAGATAAAATCTTATACAAGTAATCTTGTATTATATATTTTATATTAAAAAAATCATTATCAATGTTGAAAATAATTCAAATATATATTTTCAATTAGTCAAAATAAATTTATTTTAATCTATATATTTCTACTGATTAAATATTTTTTAATTCATCGAGAAATAGTATACACTGCCGAGTGCAAAACGCAAATGATGCAAAACATCCCCACTCCTTTTAGGCGTTCGGATGCACTCGATACTGTATACTATGAACGTGAAAATACGATATGCAGAAAAAATAAATGCAACTTTAATTTCCTTTTATGATTAAAGCAACATATCACGTTTGTTAGTAAAGTATGGAAATGGCTGTTTTGGTAAATATGTTTTCCCATAGTCAGAAAATTAATATTTAAAACGCCAAATTTTTTGATACAGCAAAAATTTGTTTAGACTTAGTAACAAATGGTTGACTTACTCTATGTTCCTTGCTTCGTAGCCAATAGATATTCGGACAGAAATTAACATTGTGTTGTTTAAAATGAACATTGAATTTCAATTTTGACAGATTTTAACTTTTTCAAAAAATATCTTATTTGGATTTTCCGAATTTCATTGTTCATAGTAAACTCGCGTATGGACTAGATATGTGTATGTATGTATATGCATATGTGCTTCCAAAATAAAAGCTCCTGTGTTAAAATGTAGAAATATCAATATGAAACTAAATAAACATTTGTGTTTTATTAAAAAGTCACTGTTTTACTAACAAACCCTATAAACTGGTGCTTGAAAAAAATTTAAAACTAAAAAAGCATTATAATTACGTGATGCTACAAAAGTGGTCATAACAGAAGCGTATACAGATGTGCAAGTAATTTTATTAAAAAATGTTCGTTATGTTTTGCAATATATTCTCTAAATACCTTAAATAGATTTTAAATTATCAATTAGACGTTCACACAATTTTTTCAAAAAATTTAACTAAATAACGGACGAAATAACTTTAAAAAACAAAATAAATCTGGCAATCAAGTAAATTACATAGCGACGCCATCTAGCGGCTTATCGTTTACAGGTTTCTGTAAATGCAGATGGCGCCACTTACCGGCAGTTTGCATTTAAATAAAGAAAACTGCATTTGTTTGTTCCGAGTCATTAACATTTATAAGTTTTTAATCAAATGACTCTTAAAAAGTACTTATATTCGTTCAGCATGACTTAAATGACGAGGCGGAGTTTTGTTTTACATTAAAATAAGACTTTTAATGTTAAGTGAGCTTTACTTTTATTCGGGTGAGTTTGTTTATAAAAATTTAACCTCAAAAAACAATAATAAAAATTGTTAGATGGTATTCAAAGACTTGTCTCTGATGGTATTAGTATAATATTAATATGTTTAATTCATTAAAGGTATGTTTTTTATCGGCATGATTTTTATATACGAAAATATGTGCTGTTTTTAAATTCAGTAAATCACTTGTTGAATGTTTTAATACACATTTATAATGTTAGATGGCATTATATATATTTTAGCAATTTTACTGTTATAAAAGTATACATTTATAGCGGTAATGTTGCTAAAATATAATTACATATACGATATAGGTATATGGCTAGAAGCCAAGGATATGAGGCGCCGTTTGTGTCAAAATTAAAAGTGCAAAA